AGCAGACGACTTTCACAGAGTTTCACACACAACTTTCTCCGTCAGCCATCATTTGGAGTCACTGACCTCTGACCTTGGCTTACCCAAACCTGCCACTAGAGGCGCTGTTTACTTAAACTAACAATTACATACATATGCATGTTGTATAATAAAGTACACTAACTATTTTTCTGGCGACTAAAATATAGTCTCAATAACAAACATAATAACAATGAATAAATCTATATTTGGCCATAACATCCCGGCCCCCTAATTGTTGAGATACTCGAAACAATTACATAAACATCACTTAACTCAAAGGCCAAAAAATCCCTCAAAAATAACAAGTCTGGCTGAAATCAAGAATGACACAGGCAAATGCAGAGCAGGGGAAACAGCAGTGCAAACACAGATGGCGCACAAGAACCGCATAGACGCACAGCAAAGAATGGTCACAGCGGCAAACCACATGCAGGAATGCCAAATTGTACACGAATCTTGGATTTGGATTGCTTCGAAGCTCGAACTTTAAATGGCGAAAACAGTATTCACAAACGTTAAATTGTGGATTATATGGTGGTTGAAAAATTAGCCGTACTTCAAGTTGATCGAGCAGGCACCTTAGATTCTGTTCAACATGTCTTGCATGATGGAAAGGACAGTTGTCCATTATGATACAATCACCCGGTGCTAAGACGGGATTCCCCATGTCATTATTTTGTTCAATAGCTTTGTGAAAGAAATTTAGAAATTCATAACCATTGTACGGTCCCAAAATTACGTCAACATGGTCAATTCCAAATACTCCCATTAACAAGTTCACCGTGAACGTAGCATTTGACGCATATCGTTGAATTTCGATGGCTTGGGTTCCAACAACAGAATGTCCGTATCTGCGGTTTCCGGTTGTTTGTACTACCGATGATTCGTCAAACCAATGAAGCTGCAGTCTCTATGAGCGCGGGAGGGGGGGTGGGGGGGTGGGTATCGGCTGATATCGAGTGTAAGAAATAGACAAGGGATGAAGGCTCCAGCCAGCTCACATTTTTTAAACTCCAAAAAACAGACGAAAAGAATGAAAAATAAAATATAAAAAAAATACCAGGTTGA